GGGGGGGTTGATTTGGCCAGATTTTATCATTGATTTGTTGCTAGCTTAGCTTCCCTGTCTGTAAATCATGTTTAATCTGTTAGTTTTTAAGAAATTACAATTTTGATATTGTCTTCAACAAGTTTTGTCTTTCGAGCTTCCTAGTTAGTTTTGGAAGAACACTTCTAGTTTTGCAAGTGAAGAGGCTTTAAAGTTTAAAGATGTTCATGAATATAGCTTCCTCAGTGTATCACCTATGCTTTTAGCCTAACTTACACGCCTTTTTGTACGTCAAATGTTGGCAAGTTTTTGGTGATTAATTTGCAAATCAGGAGCAATATGTATTGAGTAAAAAGCATAAGCTTTTATGTTCAACTTTTCTTTTGAGGGAGAGCTGCTGACTTCTTTTAGATTAGTTCTGTGTAGGCTGGTGTAGTTGCGGGTGTACTGAAGTGGGAGAATACATTAAAAGATCCTCAAGGGATGCTATCAAGACCCTGCTAGTTTAGAATTATGTTGACAAAGATATTTCTAATTACTTTTATTATTTTAATGTAACAATAGGCATAGTGACAACATGGTTATTTGGCACAAATGCTCTAGAAGAGGAGCTTTGTCCCAATCCCTTGCAGTCAGTCAAATTGCTCTCACAGTCCATGAACGTCAACTGGCACCTGCTTCACTCCTAATTGCAAAATTAAAGCATCTATAAAAATTTGCCCCATATCTAGGCTAATTAGATTATCAGTATGCTTTTGAAGAATGAGGGATTCTTCACTGGTCTGAGCTTTAATTTATAATTTTGAATATAGAAAAATACCAAATTATTGCATCAGCTTTGCTCTTGTTAATTCCTTGATATGCTTTGTCTTTCTTGTTTCTTACCCAAGTTTTAGTCACTTGGGTATATGTCAAAAGAACTCTTGTTATTCTAGTATAACTACAAAGTTTTAGGCACATCTGTTTTAGATTTATTGCATCCCCATGGTCTGAGAGGATATGCATATATTCCATGTTCGAAATTGATAATCAAATAGAAGACAAATAGATTGCCTCTCTCTTTCATAGAGTACTAATTTACTGCTAATTTTTTTCTGGCTGATTCTATTTGAAGCTGGCCAGGTTCTCTTATCATGGGAAACAAGCCTGTGAAGCAAGAACAACGAGAAGAGATTCTCTTGAAAATTGTGCCACCATTGGACCAAGCTTATGTTCGATGGCTTGCTCGGGATATTGAGAGAATTCATGGTTTTACTCCAAGAAACCCTCGTGCAGTGAAACCCCCAGATCATTACATCGAGTACATGCGCTTGAATGGTTGGTTGGATGTAGACTTGGATGATCCAGATCTAGCCCATTTGTTCAAGTAAGGAGGAATGAGGACATATCTCCTATAATCATTATATTACAATTCACCAATCACAGTCATAAATTGTGTAGTATCCGCCAGAATATCATAGGGAACGGAGCATAGGTTTATAAGTATTGAACCCTTACGTAATCTTTTGTTCTGGTTGGATAATTTCAAGGTTGTTGTAAAAAGAATGAATGCTTGGGGAGAAATATTTTGCCATGTCATAAGCTTGTGAGCTATGCTTAGAATTGGAAGGTAAATGGAAGGGATACAGTAGCGATGTGAATCAAGTCACTGTTGTAAATGAGGAAGTTATCTTTGTCAGGATGGATGAAGACCTAAAGGGGGGTTCTTTCTTTCATCATGCCGGTATTTGTATTGATAACTTTTGAGTATTTTGTTTCACTTGTTGCTTTGACTCTGGAGATGCATATCCAACCCATTTCAAACGGGGATGCCTTTCAGTGTTATTCGGATTATTTAAATTTGAATTTAGGATTATGATCTTGATCATCAATGATTCCAAAACTCTGCCTTATGTATTAAATAATATTTGCTAAATTTGAAAAGAGAGATTGAATTGCTAAGATATTAACTCATGGAACAACCAATGATTAGATTTTGAAATTTAAAAGGGCCCAGGCTTCGTTAAAATCCACCAAAAACCCAGCCCAATGCGGACAGCCAAACAGTGCACCAACAAAGTGGCGCCTAATCGTGGGAAAAGTGACAGATAGGGTTTCGGTTGGTGAGCTTGTGCGCGCCAAATAATCGCCACGTTACTGTCCTTAACCAAAAGGCGCGAATCGCCGATTCGAACCTCATTTTCTTTCCCTTTTTTTTATTTTTATTTTTTATTTGTTGGTTATTTATTTTAATTAATTTATCCTTCCTTTTTGTAGATAGCCCACATAATCACACGGCTCTAAACTAAACCTCACTTTTACCCTAAACCTAGTATTCAAAATCCCAAATATAAGAAAGAGATAATACAAATAATGCTTTTTTGACCTTTTTCTTTTTAATTCTGGTAATATTGCAGACAAGAAAAATTTAACGGCCTAGAAACCTCTATATAATAAAAACGAGAAAAAAAACAAATTATAATAAATAAAAAAATGGGACCGTTTTGATTTGGATTTTGTTAAAATGGCGGGAATTGCTCGAACAAAAACAAAATAAAAAGAATAAATTAAGAATTTCACGTGGATTAAACTGTATCCAATTTTAACTTCACTCAAACCGTTAAGTCTTTGTGAATCTTTAACTGCAAAATTTTGTCTTAAATATTTATGGTGTATTTTTTTAAAAAGGGTGAAATGTAATTTTTTTATTATAATTGAATTATTAAATAGAATTAATTATCAGTGCTTCCCTCCACATCTATATCCGAACCAAAATTCCCTCCCTCCCCTTCACTCTCCCTTTTTTTTTTTTTTATTTTTTCCCTCGTTTTCTGCTCACTTTCTCTCTCCCGCTTTTTTCATTTCCTTCATCCCAAACACCAGATCTACCCTTAATTCCCACCAAAAAACCCCCCTTTTGCCCACAATTCCGTTACCTTCCCTCCTTATCTTTCCTTCAAACAATCCCCCCCAGAAAACCCCCAAGATTCTTTTATTTTTCTTTGTTTTTAATTTAATTTTAAGTTTTTATGTGATGTCGGGTTCTCAAGCTTCGGAGCAGTTAAAGCAATCCATGCAGCAGCAACAGCAACAGCTGCAAAATCAACAGCAACTAAAACGACAGCTTCCTTTCTCTATGAAGCCGCCGTTTATGGCTCCTGGAGGCGACTATCACCGCTTCCCTTCAACTGAGCCTCGCCGCATCGCCGATCAAGATGCTGAAGCAATCGTCGTTAAGTCTCCCGTAGGTTTTTTGTTTATAAAATTTTAATTTAAGGGTTTTTATTGTTGTTGTTGATCCTGGGATTTAGTAGATCTGATTTACTTGTGATTTTGGGGTGTGAATTTTATGAATTTTGATTTTTAGTTGCTGCAATTAGAATTTATGGGAAAAAATTGTGGTTTTAATTTTTTTTGTTGATTGGGATTTTAGTGGTTTTTTTAATTGGGAATTTTGGCGGGTTTTGGTAAAATTGGTTTATTATTGGGTTAATTACCGCCTTAAGTTGGTCCTGTGCTTGATTTGAATATATAGAGTTTTATATAAAAAAAAAAGAGAGACAAAATCTGGAAAAGGGCTAATACTGAATTTTCAAGTCAATGCTCGGGCTTATTCAGAGATTTTTGTTATTAGAATAACTTTGACTGTCTTCAAGCTACTGATTCTGGCCATGATGTTTGCCACTGTAGAATTAAGCACAACATTGTCAAGCCTTGACACTGTTTTTAACTGTGCAACCTTATTTTAATTGTGTTGTGAATATGTTGTGCAGTTTCATGCAAACCCAGTTTAAGCAGAAGCTGGTGCCCCTTAGGCGAGTCACAGCCCAATTTAAGTTGTCACCTTTTGATTTCTTTGTCTATTTTGTTTATGAATCTGTAATGCTAATTGTATCAGTGGTGTTGTGAAGTGTAAAAGCTCTAGAACTTCACATAGTTTTAAACATATGTTATTTGCTTCAACATTAAGCTTTTTAGTATCCCAAAATGATTAGATTCATTATGTGATGATATCTTATCAAGTTAGTTTTTAATAATTGTGCTTTGGATTCTTTCCTTAGTTTACTAATCATGTCCTCAGCAACATGGGACCATCCAGCTTCTTCACTTTCTGCTATATAATTCTCGCTTCTAGAGTTGGCTGCTTGACTTAGTTGTCTCTGCCTTAGATAATTCTTTTACAACCAATGTTTTGAATATACAAGGGAGGTATTGAAGTTAAAGGTTTCGACAATTATGAAATTTAAAAATGTGGGTACTTGGCTGAAATGATGTTGGCTGGAAGTATTAAGAAGACTTTTGCTCTGAAGCCAATTTTCACATCTGAATTTAAGGTGCAATTGAATAGAATTGAAAGCAGATATACTACTATCAAGATGTGTGTGATGAATGATTTTGTGAGGGTTCAGGAAAATAATCTCTTCTGTCTACATGTATGGAGCAGAAACATTGACAAATGTTGTGGACAGAGAAAATTATCTTTCATGTGTCATTTTAGCCAAGCAAATCATATACTCTATATGAGGTTGGTTGAGGAAGTTTAAAACTTCCTCCTTTAATGGTTGCAGGAAAGGTATAGAAGTTTTGAGGTTTCTTTTGGAAGTGGTTTAATGAGTTACAGGAATGTTTAGAGTTTCAGTATATTAATGTGTTTGGACAAGATTCATTACAGGTAAGATGAAAATTAAGCAGGCAAAGAAGTCAGCCTTTGCCAGTTGCTTGTTCGGAGCAAGTTGATTGATTTTGAATGGTGAATGCCTGGTACATAATTTGAAAACAAACAAACTACAGTTCTTGTGGAGTGCACAATGATAATCACGATGGAGAAGAGTCATTGCTTGTTGTTTATGGCTATTAAGTACCTGCCCATCTAATGGATGGGTGGGATTCACTGGATGTTTTCCGGCATGTAAGAAGTATAGGTGTTTCAGTAACCTGTGTTATTTCCATACCCCATTCAAGCTTGAGGTACCAAGGTAAATAGTCATCAATGATACCAATTTTCGGCAGCAAATAACTTGTAAACAGAATTTTTGTGTCTTGATTTTTTAGGAAGACAGTATAAGAGAAAAGTAGGTATTAGATGTTAATGATTTGGGAAACTCTTTAGTATTTGATTTTGGTGTGATAGGTTTTAATACCTGTGTTAGGGTCTTCTACTTGGTTTACTTCTTGATATCAGAAAGAACCAGTTTGTCAGACATCTATTGATTGAAAGTAAAATCTGCTTAGTTGTTATTTCATTTAATGCATTCTGCTGCAGACTTTGTTTGCTTAACCATCACATAACATCTGCTGATAGTAAGAAAAATCAACTCAAACCCAGGGATGGTGCTTCTCTGTTTAGTTGAAGTTTGGCGGACTTGTCTGGGATCTGGGACAATGGTATCATGCTGCGAGTTTGATTTTGTGTATGTAGCTTAGAGTATTCCTTATGTACAGAACAAGAGTCATGACTGAAGCAAGTTGTGAGAATCTTTTACTTATTAATACTTTATTTTTGCTTACTTTTAAGAATTATTACTTAACATATCCTTTTAAAGGGACGAAGTTTTACATGTTCTCTGATAAACTGCTTGTCACTCAATTTAAAAGGAGTGTTGAAGTTGAATAATGTCTTGGTGTTAAATAAATACACCATTATGACAGTGAAAAGTCTTCAATAATTTGTTTTTCTAATCGAAAGACTGGTAATGGTAAGATCAGACATAGTGGAACTATTTTTAATACATATTTCTATACATGCATCTTATATGTACCTAATTTGTTTATCTATTGGAAACATTATAATTTAGAGCCTCTCAAGTGTCTGTAGATTTTTGTGATTTCCAATAATAGCTGCTAAGATGATGAAAGAGTTATAAGTTTGCTAACTCAAAATTAATATTATTAAGTGAAGCTGTCATTTGGTTGCAACTTCACCAGACACCAGAATACTGTTGCTGGTTGAAATGTGAATATTACATAACAAATAATCTGGAGATAAATGCAAGTCCATAGTGCTCAACTGGCTAAGCTACATGTTGAAGGTCTGATTAGCTTTAAGTATGAAGATCACCCATTCTTTTTCTGAATGGTGAAACTTTATGTATAAATCTACAAGATAGAAACGGACAGAGACTGTGAAGAAATTTTTATCAAATCCTGAACTTTGTCAATGTCTTTGAGATTTGTTGACAGTCCAGGCCATTTGTCAGACTGGACCAGGATTGGGGGATTCCAGCAAATTTTTTAAGAAAACTTGGATAGCGTAAGGGTAGGATGTCATTAAGCTAATTAATAATTCTCCTTTTGAGGATGTTGATGGAGCTTGTTTGTAAGAAGACAAGAAAAGTTTAGGTAATCTCGTTTCAGAAAATGAAAAGACAAGAAGGTTATATGGCTTCATGTCACTAACAGTTAGTTTTCATCCTTGGTGCTTACTAGGAGGCACTGATTTTTGTTTGTAGTTAGTGCTTGTTCTCTTGCAGTTTGCATGATCACTATGGATACAGGTATTGGTGCTATTTTTGTTATGAACAACTTAGTCATCATGATGTTTTGTGGACTGTAGATGATCACAGTTTTACATCAAAAGGCTGATATGTATTTGGACATGTTGGTCTTAACTTACAAATTGGGAAATAGAAACTGTCTACTGCACTTGGATGAAAGATGCACTTTTTTTTTTCCTTGTTTACTTTTACTCTTATCTTTTCTATGGATAAATGCTTTTAAGGTTCTAGTCTAATTTCATAATGTCTGCAAATGCAAATGCCCAGTGTTTTTTCCTAGGTGCATGGTTCAGTTTCTTGTAAGTAAGTCTCTTCTATATATTTCCAACAAACCTTTTTTGTCATTCAATATGATGCTTTTTCTTGAACGGAGCCTGAAGTTTCTTTCTTCTTGATTAATTTTGTGCCAAAAATTTATTTGCCTGTGTTTCTAACTGCAATTTGAAAATATTATATGGTGTATCAGTTAAAGAGGAAGAGTGATATAGCAGATCGGGAAGTTGAGTCTAGTGAGTGGACAATGCCTCCTGGATACACTGAAGTGGTTAGCAGCCCCCTCCAGACTCCTGTATCAGGAAAAGGGGGGAAGGCTCAAAAAACATCAAGGCTAACAAAAAGCAGTAAAGCTGGTCCTCAAACTCCTGCTTCAAATCTTGGTGAGTAGTATGGTATGCAAGTTATATGACTAAGGTGCTATCTGTGATTCTTCTGTTACCTTAGTGACAGGCCATTGTAGTTCTAAAAGTTTTACTTGCAAAATCATCACTTTTTGACCTAGTTCTACTGAAGCGAAAGGAATAAAGGTTGATATAAATATTGAAAACTTTTGGAAATTTGCAGGTTCTCCTGGCAATAATCTCACTCCCTCAGGTCCTTGTCGTTATGACAGCTCCTTAGGTAGTTTTTTTCCCTTTCCTTATATATTTTTTGGTGTTTATATCAAATAATTCAAAAAGAAGTTAATTGGCTAAATTATTGTTAGCACTGTTTCACACTGCTTATGGAATTGAGTGCTTGAATTGTAAGACTGATAGTAATGTCCTTTGAATTTAACTAGGGCTTTTGACAAAGAAGTTCATCAATTTGATTAAACAAGCTGAAGATGGTATTCTTGATTTAAATAAAGCTGCTGATACATTGGAGGTAACTATTTCATTATTTGTTCGAACATATAGTAATACAACTCCGTTTCCTGATGGTTTTCTGTTCCTACAGGTGCAAAAGAGGAGGATATATGACATAACCAATGTCCTTGAAGGAATTGGTCTGATTGAAAAGAAACTCAAGAACAGAATTCAGTGGAAGTATGACCTATATCTTATTTTTTCTAAACTTTGTTGGCACTTTGGATTATTTGAGTTTGCTTTCATATCTGAATATGCATTGCTACTTAAGAAATCACTCAATCTTTAAATTCATATCAGGGGGCTTGATGTCTCAAGACCAGGGGAAGTAGATGAGAATGTTGCTACTTTGCAGGTATGATTCATGAAATTGTAGACAAATTGTTAATTGAAATGCAGATTTATGATGGTTTAAGCTTCAGCTGTTGTGGTTTGTTGTTTAGTGTCGTATATACTGTAAACTTAATCCAATTTTACTGTCTTTTTCTTCTTAGCTGTGAATGCACATGTACTAGTTCATTTCTTCTGCTCTTTGGTTATCTTTATTGCTCTTTTTGACTGTGTCAAAATCCAACATGTCCTGTATTTCCATCTGCAATGATGACAGTGCCTTTTCAGTTGAAACGACAATAACAATGACTTCTGGTGTAACTAGCATGCTATATAATTGTGGATCCATCAATGCCTCCTTAACCTGCTTGCTTAGGCTACCTGAAATGTTCTTCTTTCCAGCTTTTATTTAAGACCAAGACTCCTGTTGAAAGCCATGACATTTTATTGCTGCTAATTGGCAGTTTTGTGCCTCTGTTTGTCTTTCTTGGCCTCTAATTTAAGCCTTGAAAGTTAGCCATGGCCTGTCATTTCTAGTGTAACCAGTATGCTGTATAACTGTGATCCATCAATGCCTCCTTAACCTGCTGGCTTAGGCTACCTGAAAGTTTCTTCTTTCCAGCTTTTATTCAAGATCCAGACTCCTGTCAAAAGCCATGACATTTTATCACGACTAATTGGCAGTTTTGTGCCTGTCTGTTTGTCTTTCTTGGTCTCTAACTTTAGCCTTGAAAGTTAGCAGTCGCCTGTTATTTGGATGCTCCAGCACAAAATAATAAGGCTTTGTTGAGTCATATTCAGTTAATTTTTCTATCTAATGAAAACAATATTTGCAAATGATGGATCAAGCACCTTTTCTGTTTCTCATCAGCTAATTTGTAATTAAAAACTTCATAATGGTAACATTCTGTGCAGGCAGAAGTTGAGAACCTTTCTATTGAGGAACGCAGATTAGATGAACAAATAAGGTTAACCTGCTATGGCCCCTGCTATTGTTTTAGGTAAAATTGATTTCATTTCTGGATCGTTGCTGAGGTTTCTATATTGTACAGAGAAATGCAAGAACGATTGAGGGACCTTAGTGAAGATGAAAATAATCAAAAGTAAATCTTCATATCCGTGCTCAAGATATTATGAATTTTACACTTTTCTGTGATTTCAGCAAAGCAACTTAGCTCATTTCACCTTTTTCACATCTCAGGTGGCTTTTTGTCACTGAGGAAGATATCAAGAACTTACCCTGCTTCCAGGTTTGTTTATTGCTCTAATATTTTATATGTTTTTGAGTTGGTAATTGTAAGGTCACCTTGTGTTGCTAATGCTAAGACTCTTTCTACTCTCTGCTGTTAACTATATGTTTTATTGCCTTATTTAGAATGAAACACTGATAGCTATTAAAGCTCCACATGGAACCACACTTGAAGTCCCAGATCCTGATGAGGTATTCTTATTGGCTTGAAGAATTAACATGTAGTTTATGTTTTTATGTTCAATCATAATTACGAACTCTTCTTTCTCATAGCAGGCTGTTGACTATCCCCAGAGGAGATACAGGATTGTCCTCAGAAGCTCAATGGGTCCTATAGATGTTTACCTTGTCAGGTACTGCTTCGTGTTGGTTAAAAGTTGGTAGTCTTCTATGCAATTTTAATCTGCTTTTGTGGCATGGCAAAGCCATTGTGTTAAAGGCAAGTGTCCATTTGAGCATGAAAGTGGCAAATTTCCTGATGATCCTCTTGTTTTCTTTCTGTTTTTTCTAGTCAATTTGAGGAGAAATTTGAAGAGATACAAGGGGTAGATCCACCTCCGAACTTTCCATCAACTTCAGGCTTGAATGAGAACCCAGGAACAACAATGGTAATGGAGGAGAGCAGAGGGAAGGAGATTGAAACGCAGGGCCAAGATACTAATAGAATGTGCTCAGATCTTAATGCCTCACAGGACTTTGTGAGTGGGATCATGAAGATCGTTCCCTCAGATGTTGATGTAAGTTCAAACCTCATACTGTAGGAATTCAGAAAACAAATTATTCTCTGTAGACCTTAAAACTTATGCACATGTTGATTGACTGAAAGGGGGGATTGCTTTTCAAGAACATATTCCATTTTTTGTAGAAAACCAGATTCAATTGACCATTTCAAAATGGCATGTGAGGAAGTTTTTAATTTGCATGCACTTCTAATTAAACATTATTGAGTACTAAATTCCTGGTTTCTTTTGCAGAGTGATGCTGATTATTGGCTTTTATCAGATCCTAGTGTTAGCATAACTGACATGTGGCGGACTGAACGTATCCTCTTCTGAGATGTAGTCAGATTAATGTTACTTGTTTTTCTCTTGCTCATTATTTTTGCATTCCATGACTCTTGACTATAGCTGAGGTTGGATGGAATGAGTTTGGTACACTTCATGATGAGGATTATGGCATGGGTGCTGTTAGCACGCCACGTCCTCAAACGCCTCCATCAAATGCAGCTGAAGTGCCATCTGCTAATTAAACTGGGAGGTGAAAGGCATATTTGTGTTTGCAGAAGTGACGATCCCTTTGCTTGTATTTAAGTGAGAGCATTCCTGATGCTGTGGAGATTGGTGTGAATGGTTCGCAAAAGTTGGCTGCTTGATGTTCCTCAAAGTTTGAGGAACTAAAGAATAGGAAGTAGGTAGAACAATCACTGTACAGCTAAGTAATACAAATGATCCACGTGATCGTGTAGTAAATAAGGTCATATGTTATCTGAGTTAGTCCCTGTATATTATTTCTTTTCTTTTTCTTTTTTATTGCATTAACCAAAACTTCTTGTTAGATTGATTGGCATAGGGTCATACAGACATCATGTGATGGCAAACAAATGATCTGATGTACCTTGTTTTTTCTATATTGAGAAAATTTTGATGAAATAAATATGTCAAGAGATGGTTAGTGCATGGCAAGGCAGTTTTTGAGAAGTTTTTCCCTCTCAATATTACCAGCAATATGCAAAGGGCCGAGGAGGGCTGGCTGGCTGCCTGCCTGCCTGCAATGCACTTGTATCGCAGAAAGAGGTGTCGCCTTGTTGCTCATGAGAGATTGATTAAATTTGGTACGAGCATTTGAACTAGGATACTCGACCTTTTACCGAGATTGATTAAACAAGCCTTTACTCTTTATTAAGTCGATTCTGGTTCTAAAAGCAGTGCTGCACACACTTGGGATGTGCTAAGTACGAAGCAGGAGAAAGTTGATTGGCATTGGATCATTTGGTTCGAGTGTCATATGACAAGGCATGCTATTGTGGCCATTCTTGACAGGTTGCTTACTCAAAAGATTATGCTCTTGGGCCCTTATTTCTGCAAATACCATCTGTTTGTTTTAAGATCAGGAGATTTGAGTCTCGGGACCATTTGTCCTTGCTTGGAGTGCTTATATCTATGTCTTCTGGAGGGAAAGACACAGGAGACTTCATGGAGGTCAAGCCAATACCATAACTGCAATGTTCGATTGTATTGCAGATTCTATTAGGATTCGACTCAATATCTGAGGGGATTCAATTAATAAAGACCATTTTGTAGCCTGGGGATTAGATGACAGAATGTTTGCCTAAACTTTTATTGTTTACTCTGTGCCTTTGTAGCAGTTTTACACGCTTTCTTTGGATAAACACAAATTCGATTATCCCAAAAAAGAAAAGTAATTCTAGAAAAAAGAAAAGGAAAAGAAAAGAAGGATTCAGTTACTTGATCATTATCAGAAATTGCAGAAAACTATTTTGATAAGATATGTTCCCGGAGGCAGAAGTTGTATTCAGGCTTATTGTTTTACATGATTACAATCTGGTGTGTTTTCAACAAATCAACGGTAGTCTTGCAATTAACTCGACTGCAAGCACTTGAAATCAACAAACATCATCTTGGAGCTACAATAAAAACTCTACTCTCCAAGGGAAACACCACAGAGGAACAACGAAAAACAAAAACACAGAAAGTCAGACAGGTCAATTCAACTTGGGTTGTACCACATGTTTTACTTATCTTTTTCAACCTTCTTTCCTATCCAACTTGCAACAATGGGAGTCAGAGCCACAGTAGGAGGAAATCTTATTGGAGATGCGGCTTTGTGGGCAGCATATGCCAGAGCAAAGGTCCCAACTTTCTCTCCAGTCGCATCAGTTGAGATTCCCACCTGGAAATTCAGTCTAATGGTTAGTTCCGGAATGCCTTCCCTTCACCAAACGTCAGCGTTAAGGAAAATTTTTAACCAATATTTATGTTTTCTCGGATGTTTTTACCTTTAGCAGCAATGCTTGAACATCAATGCCAGCACTAATTAGTGCATAGCAAAGGGAGAAGGAGATCAAGGAGAGAGTAATGGAGGTTGCCAAGTATGCTCCTCCATATTTGGCTAGCAGCTCCTTGGCTTGGTCACCCTTTGATTTCTTTTCTTCACCTTCTTCCTTTGAGCTGAATATCTTCCGATATTCACAAAATAGGTGAATCACAAGACAGAAGTTAGCTTCTCATACCCAAAAACCAAAAGGTGGTGAGCAGGGAAAAACTCAGGAACTGCGTGTATTTTTAATTTATTTAGTACCTATTATTTCCTTTCAATTCCTTGAGGACTCTTGAAAATCATTAACCAGGCCATGCTATCCATGTCAAAATCAGAGATGAAACTAAACACAGAACACTCCCCCCCTCCCCAGAAAAAAAAAAGGATAAAGCTTCCAGTGCATTCAAAATTCCCATGCATGCTTCTTTTTCTTTTGTGAGCTTTAATTTATGTGTTCGAATTAATGCTGACTGAAGCCATCTCTACTTAAAACATTGGAAAACAAGATTGAAGGAAAAGAAATTTGTGAAAAATGTGATAGGAGGCCAAGGTTTTCTTACTGTTAACTATGAACCATTTCTCCTTCTGAACCAACCCAACCAAAAAAATAAAAATCATAAAACTATACTCCCAAGTCAACCTCTCTACTACCAAGGTAAATTTGTGCAATTAGGCTGTCTTAGAAACTGAAGGGAACATAAGTAAATACAAACGAATCCATTGCCAAAAACAAAATAGCTATAAATATGCAATTAACTAATAATAGTAGAAGAAACAATCACCAAATCAATTACAAATGCCCATATAAACAAACCATATCCATAGTTTATGCATACTAGTTTTTTCATTATAATTATCATGTAGACAGGCTTCAAGAAGAGGCAAAGAAAAAGCAATAGTCAAAAGGAGTAATTAAGCGATTGAGAAAAGAGAATTAAGTACCTTCCAAAGCCCAGCTTCAAGGCCATACGTCTTTGTAACTTCATCCGCAGATGAAGAAGAAGATGGGGCTTGGATTTCTTCTGTTTTCTCTTTGATAGCTCTGATTTTAAAGCTTTTCAACTTGGGTTTGATGGAAGTTGGAGTCGAAGCAAAGTAGGAAAGCTTGGAACAGTTTTTGGCATTCAAGAAAGAAGAGGAAGAGAGAGAAGCACAGGTCAGAGTTGTTATTGCTGCCATTATCGTTTTAGCTGAACATAGAGCCTCTATCCAAACAAAGATTTGTTCAAGACCCTTTTTTTAAGTTGTTAAGGATAACCAAGAAAAAAATCTGGGAAAAACCCGGAGATAGAAACTCATATAGGGTTATTAAGCACACAAAAGGTAGTTCAATGTTTATCGAGTGACTGTATTGGGCCTCTAGTTTTCAGTTATTTTCGGTTTGGATGAGACCAATCGCCCAAACCGCTTTTGGAAACTGAGGCCAGATGTGAACTTACGTGTCTTAACTTCCATTGTTTATCTCGGGACACAGGCAAATTCCTAGAAGGCCAATGCTGTTCAGGCCGAACCGGTTACTATCCAAGTCAGTTCCCTGAAATTTAGTACAACTGGTATCGTTCCAATTAAAAGAGGTTAGAGGGTTTCCTTTGATGAACAAGAGATTTGAAGATAAATTTATATCCCCATTGAATCAAACAAGAGTGCCGTATGCTTCTGTCTATTATCTCTAATCAGTTATCTTAATTATCACATGTCATGAACAATATAAAATTGAGGTGTTGGCAGATATGGTGGTAAGATTTCCGATTTTAACTGCGAGCTTTCCTTCCGTAAATCATGGATTTTAAATACCCTATATCCAGAAACAAAGCTGAGGGTTCCTCCTTTCTACAGCCATAGAGGGGAAAAAAAAAAAGGAAAGTCAAAATATATTTCATTCTGGAATTAAGATGAAGATCAGCTCTAGACTACTAGTTTCTAAGTTTACTGTCTGATTGAGGATGTTTGGGTCCTTTTTGTCATTTCTGATTTTCTCCAAGGCAATATGGTCAAATTAGGGCCAAGTAGCAGAGTCCTATACAACTATGTTAATCCTGGAATTAATGTGATGTATTCAAACTGGACTGAAAGGATTTCCTCTGATCACACTTTTTAAACAATTTTGAAAATTAAAATCAATTGAAATTTAAAGTTCCTAACAGATAAAGTATCTTTCAGTATAAGATTACAGAGATTTTATTGCTCCTCTCTGAAATAACTCAAGCTAATTAAAGACCATAATACCAAACTTTTTCTCCAAAACCAAAAAGGAAAAGAAAAAAAAAACATTTCCATGGCTTCCCAAGCTAATAATGAGTCAAAAAACCTTGCTTTCACGACCAAAATAGAAAGCAACAACTTCCCAAAAACCGATCGACAGAGTTCATATCATGCAGCCCTTGACTCAGAGTTGGATTCTTCGAGCCCTCTTATATCGACATACACTTCATTGAAAGACTTGATGCCTTCAAGCAAAGGGTCCAAGTGCAAGAACAATCCTTATTCAGCAGGGTTAACGATTGCATCTGCGTACGAGATTCCTATAACCAACATGCTGGTGAAGAAAGCTGCATGGGTTTATTTGCAGCCAATGGCGTTGCCACCAAATTCAAGCAGTACTACTCCCAAGGAACACATTCTCTGCCGTGCTTGGGTGGAGGTGAAGTCTCCGCTGAAAGCTTGCTTCAGGTTTATAAGAAGGACCATCATTCACAAGATTGCATGTGCTTTTGAGAAGTTTTCTGGAGCAATTCTTTTTGGCCGAAGGAGCAGCTTAGGGATGAATCATAATTGATCTGTTTGTTTGTAAATATGGTTAACTCTTCACCCTTTCTGTTTCTTTGTCTTGGTTTTTTCCTTCATTTTTAGGTTAGAACTCGAACAACTTTTTGAATTAACTTCTCATTTCTTCCTAATAAAAATAATAAATAAAACAACAACGTTATTTGTAGAAATGAGAGCATTACGCTTCAAATTTATGATCTCTAATTGAATTCTCTCATGGCATGCAGGAGATTAAATATATTTAGACCTTAAGAGATTGTATAAGATTAGAGTTATTTTCTGTAGCCCTCACTTTTGTATAAAAAAAAACAATGAATGATTCATTTATCATCATTCTATACTCTTTTTATTTATGACAAAGCTCAAATATCAAATATGCTGATGAATTACAGCTCATTTGTAAAGAATTTCAATTTAACTATTGTGTCGATGAATGCCATTATTGAACCAAATAATGTATACATAAACTAAATCATTTTTTCGAAAGAATTGACAAAAAATTGGAGAAGTGCTAGTATTGTAAGTTTGAATATTCCATTATTTTTTATTGAATTGATTCATCAATTATCGTCAAATATTAAATATGCTGATGAATTGGAAATCATTAATTTGTAAAGAAATTGAATCCAACTCTGTATTGATGAATTAATGCCATTATTGGACAAGATAAGGTATACATAAAACTAAATCTCTTTCTGGAATGAATTGACATTAGACACAATTGAAGAATTGCATTGATTTTAAGTTTGAAATTCCTTGGTTTTTAGTTTTATTTAAACTTCCTGTTAAATATTAAAAGAAAAATTTTAGCTTAAAATATATTTAA